TGGGATGAAAATAAGGTGTTCTCTTTGTGGGGCCTATTCAATGAGCAAATGACTGATGCATATTGCTCCAAGAAGACTAATTATCTGACAGTAGATTAGGCCACATTGAATAGCCTAGGTGTTGAGTGGTAAACTTCTTTGGTGCAAAGAAAGCCTTACAAGTAGTTGTCACAGTTATTTCTAATGATGACCAGTGTGGACTACGAGGGTTTTTGATTCAATGCCGTCTGTAAAGTTAGATTTTATTCGAATCACCTGTGATGTATTCTGTCTTTAGTGTGGGAAATAGGTGAACCAGTATTAACTTCAATTTCGAGCTGGATTAAGGGCCTTGAAGCGAGCGAAGTAAATGCCAGTAATAATCGCTCATCATTTGCCTCGCCATGCCTAGACAATAGCTTCTAGTGGAGGTAAACAAAGTTGCAACTGATTGATTGAGTAGCATCTGCACTCACGACCCTACGTGGCAGTGTTATGCAATGCACGAAAAAATATGACAGTGAATAAGACCGATGTTAACCCTTGATATGGGAAAAATACTTTGATTTTTGTCAAATTTATTTCTAATATGCATGAAACCCACACGCACACACACGCACACACAGGAGCACATACACCTGCTCCTATTTTGCAGTGGCATCATTTTAGCCCAATGGAAGTTTATTAATTATGTTCAGGTGTAGTCAACTATGCCATCGTTGTGCAATTGAGCCACGTTGTTTATCATGGCTCAGATTTGTTCCGAGGGAACCTCGAAATGAAGTGGAGCCGGATGATGATCCAAATTAACACTCAACTATTTCCACCAATTGGGGTGAATCAAATAACAGAGATCATTTATGTTGGGTAGAGGTAATATGCGCGCATGGCTTTATACCTTCAACAAAGATTCAGGAAGCAACAAGTAGAGTTCAACGACACTTCATTCTTAACAATCTCATCAAGTAAATCAATATCTTACCATTTGAAAGAGAAATGGCATTTACATACGACATCAGCCTCGAATCACCCTCCCCTTCCCACTCCCCCCCCCCCCCCCCCCCCCCCCCCCCCCCCCCACCCCACCACCTTAAACAACAAATACCGTTCTCTCTCACTTCGTACTTAATTAGCATATGTTGATTTATTTATTTATTTATATCAAATGGCAGGCGTTTTGATATTTATCATTAGCCCTTAAGTTGACTTCAGGCTTCACAGAGGGGAATGAAAATCAAAGCAAAAAACGTCGAGAAGGGGGTGATAATAGAAGAACGTTTCAAAGATGTAAAAGTGATAGACGCAAAGGTAGAAAAAATGTGGGATGTGTACTGTGTAAGGGGTCGAATATGACATGCAGTGTGGTCATAGCAGTTTAAAGTCAGAAGTCAACTACAGATTGGTTGACATTTTAGCCGTATGAATATACGTTGCCCAGGGTGCACCACGTGGAGGTAAGTCCATCGCGCACCTAAATTAACATATATTGGTTTCTTTCAGTTGCTAGCCCCCTTCCCACCGTCCACCTCCCACATTTCAACATGGAATACTTGATCAAATCAATCAGTTGCACCCTCATTATTTAACATTGTGGAAAAGATTTTTGCTTTAATCAGGCATATTAGGCTTGGCAAACCACACAATTCAGTTGTCAATTACACAGAGAGGTAAGGAAACGGTGTGCAATGGAATAGGGAAAAAATCTTACCGTGGAAGTGCTCTCAACCTCATTTGTTAGCTATGACTAGGTTGTATGCCTTTAAGTTTTATTAACAGAGATGTTCTCCTTCTATTTTCCAATATCAATTAAATGAGAAATAATGGCCATTTTGAATTTATCAGTTAATAGAACGCACTAAATCTTGCAGTTAATAGGATCTGAGTGGAATATGTCAATTTGAAAAATGAGACGATAAGTGAACTAGTGGCGAATTGACATTTAAATAGGACAGGATGACTTTCTGGAAGTAGATGTGCTAATTTTTATGTTTTCAAAATCAATTGATAATCATTTTACCAACATAAAGGAAATAAGTTGGTTCAGATCTGGAAATACTTTTACACTTGTGAAGATTAGATTTTGATGAGATGCACCCAAAAGAATGACACAGTACGAGGTGGGGTGAGGGGGGATGTTTTGCAATTTTAGTTTAAAAATAAAGTGTAGCATATCAATTATCATAAACTGACATCAAGTACATCTTGAAATGAAAGCCGTTGTGCTTATATATTTTGTAATGATTATTGACGTTCCGTTTCCATACTATACTGATTAGCGCATGAATTATTTAGGGGTTTATTATATACATTTATGTTTAGAAAGTTCGAAAATATTTCATTCCTACTACGTAGGTTTCTTGATAACGTCAAAAGTACAATGGGTAAACGAGGGATGGCTTCCAAATAGTCTGAGACATGACAATTATCCTTACAAAACTGGCATGTCAAATACGATGTAACAAATGCCCGAAATATGGGTTCATTAAACCTCAAATCAATTGGTTGCAGGTATACTAATTAAGTTCTCTGAAAAATGCGAACACTAGCCTGGTTTAGTCTGTCTAAGTTTTCTTTTATACAGCCAAGTCCTCATATAATTCGTCATCATGCATTTTGAAGCACAATGTTTCAAAATAGAAAATTCCAAGTTTATTCAAATTGGCCTCATCAATTTCATTCCAACATCAACGACTCCTCATTTCGTAAAGAGGACGGAAGTATCTCACTCTAGTTGACGCGGTCTCCATGTTGAAACAGACTGGCATTGTTTGTTGGCCACGCAAAACGTTGAACCAAATTAGGTCAAAATCGTACAATTCACCATTTCATTCAAGTTCTCTCAAACAACCACTTCTTCTTACATTCCTTCGTCACTTCTCTGTAAACGGTTATCGTACTATTTCTCAAACTTCAGATGCATAGTCCTTAGGCTGATTGCCAAAAACTTATCTGAGATTCAAAGATTTATGCATGATTTTTTCTTCTTACTTGAAAACAAGCAATGAAGATTAAGATCTTAATAAATAACACATATTAAGAATGAAATTGTGTATAAACCAGTGGTGACAGGTTGCAAACGTCGGAAAAATCGGATTTTTTTTATAAACAAAAAATCGGAAAATATGTACATTATTAAACGTAATACATGAGGGAGCCATGTGTGATGATTTTATATGGAGAAATACATCAGCAAATGCATTAGAAACAACTCTAAGAGGATTATTTTGAAAGGCAAGTCAAAATTTAAATAGAACCAAATTAACACACCAAAATTTAAATGCTTTATACTTATGTGCTTTTAACACTGTATGATTATTAGGCAAGTTTTAAAAATGCATAAATAAATCCAAGTTAATCTAAATTGAATATATGTTGATGCTGATAAAATATAAATAGTTATTTCATTTGTACTATTTACTCAAGATCATTCTGTAAGAAAGAAGGATATGGCCTGACATCTCCATACATTTAACAAATATTCTAACGTCAATAAATAGAGTTCAGCCTCACACCAATCTAAACAATTCCATCGAGTAAATCCATATCTTAACTTTTTGTGAAGAAATACCATTTAATGGAAACATCTGCTAACTTTAAATCCAGTTATCGCATGTTTATTTTTTACAGTTCCCAACCCCCACACACCATCCACTCCACTACAACCTCTCAACAATGAAAATTTGTAATTTGATCAAGACAATCAGTTACACTTAAATTATTTGCAACTGTGGGGACTGAGGAAGCAGATGAATGGCTGATGTTCAAAGGAAAAGATATTTGTTTAAATTGTGAATTATCTACTTGTTTAACCACCCAATTCGGTTGCACAAAGCATAGATATGTAAATGAACAGTGTAAAATGTCGTTAATGTTGAAGTGCTCTTAAGCTGGTTTGTTTATTATTAATAATTGATATGCCTTCGAACTTAATAAGCATAAAACCCCTACTGTTTATTTTCTGGGCAACTTAAATGTTCGGATACGTTGAGAGGTGTCGAATAGGCGTTTCAAAAGGAAAATGGGACTGTCGTGAAGTAGATGTGTGAGATTTGATATTTTCCAAATCAAGTGATAATTTTATCTCCGACGAGAAGCAAAAAATGGTGATAAGATCTCTCGAAAATTTTCCACTTTTGGAGATGAATTAATGATGAGATAAACACAAAAAAGTGACGCAGTGCAAGAATGAAATATTATCCTACATGGATTGAAAATGGATTATAGTTTATTTATTGCCACAAACTGACGTCATGTAAAACTTGTAATGAGAGCTATTGTGCAATAGAGTCGTTAATGAATACTGATGTTCCATTTCCTCATGATTTGTGCATGAATATATGTTATATGGTTTTCGGTTTAGAAAATACAATTATTTTTCGTTCATATTCCATGAATTTCTGTTAAAGTTACAAACACAATGGATTTTTGAAGAATGGCTTTCAACTAGTTTGGGGAATTTCTGTTATCCTTACAACAGTGGCATATCAAGCATGGTGTAACAAATGCCTGAAATATGGGTTTAACGAACCTCAACCTGGTTGGATGTAGGTATTTTAATAATGCTAAAGTTTGTGAGTTCTTTTTTAAAATGCAGGCACGTAAATTGAAAAGCATAGGCACAAATAATGAATTCTGATGCATATCATGGACTAAAAATACACTTATGGGTTACGGAAAAAGAAATCCTGAAAAGAGGGTTATGTCTTGAAATAAGTAAAAAAATACGCATTTATTTTATTTATGAGATGATTAAATATAAGCCATTCTAACAGAAAATATCTTACAAGTTTGATTACTCTAATCTTTTAAATCTCAAGGTCATGAAGCATTGCAAGGAAGTCAAATGTACGATAAAAATACGGTACAAATAATTTTTTTATTATGAACCTTTTAGTTAGTCCTTTTGAATTCGATTAATTGTTCCTATTTTAAAATTATTTAAAATTTTATTCGATAATACATATTAAGTGTTTTGATTTTAAAACTTTGTGGCATTGAAAAATAATTTTATATCACTTCAGATTCCTCCTGACAGTGATGAAATGGAAGCACCTTATAAGATGGAATTAAAGTTCTTTGGTGAACAAAATTGGTTTCACGGATTACTGAGCAGAACAGCTGCCTGTAGCCGCCTTTTGGATGATGGCTCATTTTTGGTCGCAAATGATGTAAACGAGCCTGAAAAATTCTTCATATTCGTGAAGTGGAACGGCAAATGTCATGAAGTAGAGATTAAATATAATTTTTTGACCGGGAAATATAGCCTTGGATCAGTCGAATTTATTGATGTTGCTGATTTAGTATCATATTACAAAGATAATCAACTTCCAGTTTTAGATGATCTTGGAGCCGTTTTATTTGTCCCTGTACCTCCTTCTCCAATAAGCCACATCAAAAGTACATTAAATGGTGCTCTTCTTGGTGAATTTAAAAATGCAGATTATGTGATTCCGACTGAAAATCGTGCGAATAGTAGAGTAAGCAATACCTGAAATATAATATTTACAAATGAGGTTCCTTATTGCACTATTCTTGCTTAGTCAGCTGATAACTTATCTCTGGACATGGAGTATCTTAGTTTGCCCGAATGCACTGCAAGTTCCCCAGTTCGTTGCAAACTACAACGTCAACAGATACGCTATCTTCCAATGAATGATAAGCCTCCCAAATATCAGAACAAAAATCCCAATATGTCCCTTGGTCATCTCAACACAGTGAGTTGCGAATCCAAAAGCTTTAGCCGAAGCACACTCAGCCTTCCAACTTGTTCCCGGTTTGATGCCTCCCCGAAGGATTCCACTTTCCAATATTTGGTAAATATGTGCCAAGGATTCATCAATTATGATTTGGGCCTTACTTTCCTAAACTTTATTGATGTTGCTAAACCCCTTGATGAGGAGGCTTTTGATGCGGTATCTAGAGTTGTCCTATCTGCCGGAGTTGATACTGTGGCCGGTTGCCTTGGTAATGAGACAGCCTCTATCCTTGCTCTTAACTGGCTTTCTGAAGCTGGAACGAGCAATAGCTTGCCCACTGATGGTTATTCTCTCCTTCTTTGGCCTGCTGCCAACGGTTTTCGTAGAGACCTTTACAATAGGTAAGGCAAAAATTCACAGTACACATCATGCTAGTTTTATGCTCTATATGCAAATTAACCTCCCAAAATCTTCTCTTCGCCATCACGTATAGGGTTTATCATCCTTCGTTTCAATTTCAGGGATCGTTTTCTCTCGCTCTTTGTAACTGCATCAATTGTGACATTGAAAAATGGCGACTTAAAGGCTGCACTTTTGGCACTTTGGGTAAATGTTATTAAGAAGTTGATTGCATACCACAAGGATCATTACACAGCAAACACAATTGCGAGTGGAATCTTGGCGGTGCAGGTTAGTTCAATTTTTACTTAATCAGTTGCACCAATTTGAGGGATTGTATTGTTAATTCGAGTATAATTAGGATCTGGCATTTGCGATTTCACCATTCTCATTTATCTTCTTGTAAAGCGTGATCGCGCTACTGAATCATTCCTCTTTCGTTAAACACGTGTACCTATCTGAGCATTGTTGAGCTTAAAGACGATTTTGGCATGAATTGTGATACAGGTAAATGCCCAAACAGGTGTAAATTTTATAATTCAGATTTGCCCGCATTATTTAATTTAGAATTAGCTTGTCTAGAGTGTTAATATCTTTGAAAACTCGATCTTGAAAGATAAATCGAATTGAATTTGATTTCATTAAGTCTTTTGTAATTACTTGTCTGACAGGATCGATGGTTAATATTTGAAATTCTACATGAAGTATTCAAAACCATGGCACACTATTGATCGGCTCTAACTTGTATGCAATTGCGCTAAATTCATTCAATTGTTTTAATTGATCGCAAAGATTAGGAGGCGAATATTTAGAACAGTCAATGAGAAAGCTGAATTTTTTGAGGATATTGTGATTATGCCTATTGGCGCGTGTTCCAAAAATACCAGGTATTGTATCGATATAAAAATAATTGAAAATAGAATGATATAGCGGTACAGATTTATTCATTGTGGAAACATCTACATTGTTTGTTGTCCAATTCATTAAACCGTATTGCACTTTCCCACGTTCTGCGTCATGGTAAATGCTAATGGCATTTGCCAGGGATTTGCATGGGGCGTCTATTGCAATCTTCGAATGTGCGTCTTTCTTCATATCTAACTTCTTATTTCTGTGCAACAAATAAACATTTATTGAAGCTATTGTTATTTATCCCCCGCCTCCAATTTACTTTATTTTTTGTTCTGTTAAGATAATGAATCAAAGTCTTCTTTGGGAGAAAGCTTTTCCTTGTGATGGAAATCCTGACGTCATCAATAAAATAAAATCTTCTCTTCTCGAGCATCGTGTTCAGGAGTCAAAGTTATTGGAAGCTACATCAAATTGTTTGAGTAAGGTGGATCAGTGTGTACCCAATATAGCCCCCTTAGTTGAAGAGCTTTATCGCCTTCAACCTCCTGATGTTGCAGCTGGAGGTCTGCCACCATCTTCTCTTATGCAGAAGCTCACCTTGGCTAAGAGTATCTATCGAAGACGAGTCTGTGGTGGTGGTGGTGGAAGTGGTGTTCTTTGGGTAAAGCAGAAATGGCCTGAACTCCAGTCTATCCAGGTGAGCTAATCGAAAAGTTGCCTTAATGGTGTGAAGCCACGCATGACCTCTCTTTCAAATCCCAGTTCCCTCTTTCTATCACAAGCGACAGCAAGTGAGAAGAATGAATAAGCGAAGGAATGGATAAGCGCTTCACATGGGTCATTGGATTTAAGAAGTGCGGGTTAATATTCACTAAAGTTGCTTTGTTTAAAAAATTAATACAACAGGCATTTCCACACAGCAAGGAATATACAGAGTTCGGGCTAAGTTTATGAATGCTTTTTTCTCCTACATGCTGGTATAAGAACCTTTCCTTGCATTGCGAGAGAGTAAAAATGAGTTTTTGAAACAAGGTGCCAAGAAATTCTATCACGCATTACCACCAACATACAATTTCTGAGAGTGTATACTACGACTGGGTGCTGGAAGACTGGCTTCAGATGAGTGAAAACGGCTCAGAAATCCCATACTCCATTAATTCACAAGGTTTTACTATTCCAAATTGACGATATTTAGTGGACGTTTCTATGAGCTCCGGCTTGTAGAGGTTGAGTTACTAGACAGAGGCCAGTAAAGTGTCAGCAACCTGTCCTTTTTTGAATAGTTTTATGTGAATTGATGATGATTTTCGATATCCCTCGAACACATTCCATAGCCTGGAACTATTCATGACGTGGGTATTGTATACTACTCTTAATTACTTATAATGACAAATCGTAGTCATCTTACGGGCTAACTTTGTTAAACAAATAGCATTTTAATGCGGAAATATATCCGACGCATCTAATTCGCCTCATTGACTTTAAAAGTGACCATTTTCCATCAAAATATTTACAGATAAGATCAGCTCTTTATGGCACAATCATGTACTTATACCTTGCTTTATTATCCTATATGACCCTTTATCGGCCTTTCAATTTTTTTTGATTCACAGGTACCAGATGAGCTGCAGTCAATATTCAGAATTGAAAATATACTTCTCCTGTTGCTAGGACCAATCGATATTAGTCAAAACGACGTTCTTGAGAGTTGCTATGGAAAATTATCAGAAATTCTCACTCTTTTTGTCGACACTTGAAATTGCCAATATTTGTATTTATTTTGAATCAAGATATCCATACCATTATCTCGCATTCAAATAGGAATCCTCGAAAAATTGTTATTTTATCTATCGAGCGAGAAATGAATATTGTGCAATACATCTTACTCTACATTCTTCAGTGTTGAATAGCCTAGGAAACCGTTTAGATCAACCCCAAAATTTAGACATTTAGACCAAACTAACTTTAACTTGCATTAAGTAATTTTTTATTGTAATTTGCAGTTGACGAAATGAAGCGGTATTCGTCGTGGATTACGGTTTCTCTTGTCGCCAAGCCGAAGTACTTGTTGTCAAACAATTCTGATAGCAATTTGAAAGTCATTTACTAATATCAGATGGCAGGCTTTATGACAGGCATCATTAACTGTTTAGTTGATTTTGGGCTTCACCGAAGGAGGAACTTCAAAGTCACAGAAAGTGAAGAGGGTGAACAGAAGAGTGATTCACAGATATAAAAGAGGCAGGCAGACAGGCATAAAGGCAGAGAAAAGGTAAGGTGAGTACTGTGGAAGTGGTGGAATATGGCATACAGTGGGGTCATGGTAGTTTGAAGTCAATTACCGGTTTAGAGACTTTGTTGCCGTATGAGTTTACGTTGCCCAGGGTGATCCACGCGGAGGCAAATCTATTGCACATCCCACGGTTTGAAATTTAGCTCAGATGAATAGTCTCGCATTCAATAAGTATTTAACGAGAATAAGAAGATTCTTGTTTAATTCGTTCAGGTGGTATGATTCTCTTCAAATAATTCAAGATGATTAATTACATGGATGATAACTAGTTGGAGTCCCCAAGTTAGCTTTAATTAACTACTTACCTCCACGTGGTGGACCCTGGGCAACGTATACTCACCATACGGCAAAACAAGTCTATTAACAGGCAGTTGACTTCTGACTTTACACGAATGTCTCGACGATGTTCACTAAGTACGCGCATATGCACACTCACAAAAGGATAAACGCATAAGGCAAGAGCTGCTTAAGATGAATTCGATTAGAGATACAGAGGAGAGATTGCGTTTTCTCAGGTCAGAATCAACTAATTTGGATAATGAAAGTGCCAAAAAGTGAACATGTAAGCATTTTTTGTTGCTAACGGTCATGCGCTTTAAAGGCATCCAATACATGTAAAAGCTTAAAACATTTTCATTCCTAATTATTAGACAATACACCAAATGTCCTTTTTTTAAAATGTGTACCTTAAACTCCAAAACCTATTTCAGTGAACTTGGCAATCGTGAATATATATATGAATAATTAAGTGAGGGTTTTGCTGTTATTAGCCTCAGCAAGGATCAAGAATAAGACTTTATGTCACATACTGCATTAAAAGTAGATGGAAGCAGATTTTTTTCAATGGCATGTGACGGGCCACTCATCATATATATGGCGGTGTCTTCGATTGAAGAGATATTTGCATGCCCTGTCATAGGCATGAGGAAATCTCCTTGAAGGCCAGGGTCGATCTATGATTGCTCAGATTACCGTTGTCGATA